GGACAGAGGGCCACCAAGCTTCCAAAGGAATGGGAAAATTGGTTTATTGAGAAAAAGAGTACAGGTCAAAGTTCCTTCACCTATCAGTAGTGGAACTCGGCCCACAGGACTTGCAGCCTGGGTGAGATAGGAAGACCCAGTCTCCAAAACAAAACAAACAAAACCAAAAAAACATCTAATCCATGTTAACTCTCTCCCTCTCAATGCAGCCTTATCCACTTTGGCACAATTCTAATTGTTAAGAAGTTTTGTTTTTGTTTTTCCTGAGATCAAACCTAAATTTTCCTCTTTGTAACTTTCATCTACTACTCCTGGTTCTGCCCCCCCCCCCCCCCAAAAAAAGTTTTCCTGTTTCTTCTAAGTCTCTTCATCTTTAGGATAAACATCCCATTCCTTCAACTGTTCATTCTATGACATGGACTCGAGGCCCTTTCACCAAAATGGTTGCCCTAATCTGGATAGTTTCCAATTTATCAATAACCCAGCCCTTCATTTTATAGAAAGAGAACTAAGGCCAAAGAAATGGCTTGCCCAAGGTCATACCAGTAATAAGTCTCAGAACAAGGATTAGTATTCTGATTCTCCAACTTTTACTACACCATACTATCCAAAAAAACTTTTTTCTGCCTGGAATGGGAGATACTAGTATCATTCTGCCAAAACAATCTGCCTTCTTTGGCTACAAGGATAGATTCAAGACCACTTAATCATTGGGCTACTCAAAGGGCAACCTTTGGCAACTACCCTAGAAAGCTAATTATTTGAAAATCACATTGTCCAGGACATGTGGGTCAGCCTCTGTCACGAGGAAGCCACATCCCACTGCAGAAATTCTTGATCCTATAAAACTGCCCTGCCTTCTGTCTCTTGCTCTGTGAGAGTCTGATCTTAGGTTTCTGTTCTCTGATCTGTCTTTATAAAATAAGAAAAAAGAAAAACAAAAGAAAATCAGAATCTCTCCTCTCAGCCAACATGGATATGAGCACATGACTGCCTCAAATGCAATGTGGCACTACCAGCAGATAACGCCCCCCCCACTTCACATTAAAATGGAGTTAATAATACTTAACAATCCTCACAAGGTATTTCTGACAATTAAATAAGAAAATGTATGAGATGTTGCCTGGTTAGAATAGGCCTGGGGGAGAAGAGGTACTCATAGATTCAAACAGCTGGGGTGGCTGATAAGTTCCTTAAGGAGCAGCCCTTAACACCAAAGGAATCTTATCAGCCCTGGTTGTCCTTCTTATCTGGCCTATTCACAATTGGTGTATTCATACGCTAGTGACTGCTTCCCAAAGATTGGTGCATTTATAAAGGAGTTGAGCTCCTTTTGTCCTCCAGTGTACCTCAGAATCAGCCTGCAGTTCTGGCTAGGATTCATTTCCAAGGCCTATCTCGTGTTCCTCTCTTAGAAACAACCCACATTGAGACTCAGGTAGTGATGTGGTGAACTGAATAGAATATTCTATCTTTTTGTGTATTTACCACACAGCAATATTTATGCACCAAGGAATCCCAGGATTCAACAAAGGAAGTGTGGACAACTTTATCAATTCCTTGAAATCCCCAGCTGAACTGACAGAGGACATCCAAGTAATTTGTAGCTGTAAAAGTGGACTATAAATATGAGCTATTATTATTATACCACAGGCAATACATTATAAACAATACATCACATTCATACAGCACTTTACAGTTTCCATAGCACCTTGTGTGTCACAAGGTCACAAAGCAAGGGAGACACAGAACCAAGCTTCAAACCCAGGTCTTCAAATTCCAGACCCAGTATGTGTGTGTGTGTGTGTGTGTGTGTGTGTGTGTGTGTGTGTTTCCACCTCTCACTTGACAACTAATAAACCATTATTATGTCCATCATTTGAGAAAAGAGAAATAATTTCATAATTATTGTGAATAAGTGAAGTGAAAAAAGTTGTAATCCTCCATCAAGAACACTTATTTTGAGCTTTCTAAAAAACCAATTTGAGATCAATGCAGATGCTCATAATTTTTTTTTTTCTGTTTGGTTTGTTTTAACTAGCTTTAAAATCAGCCCCCAAAAATCATTTATATGTGTTGTTTCCTGTCAGAACTATTGACAGTCAGTAAAATTTGCTTTCTTTTTCATTTAGATTCATGAGGTTTCATCCAAATATCTAGGACTCTGAGTGCACATATAATAAGATTTGGTAGAGACCAAAGTGCTCAGGAATCTAAGTGATTCATGATGTGTTTTTTTTAATGGATTTTTAAAGCAATAACAATGGTCCAATCAGAACTAAATCTGGGGAAAGCCTGATTAAGAAGTTCAAGTCAGTAGATTGAAATCAGGATGCCAAGTTTCTTCTTCCAAGTATGTAGCAAGGAAGTGCTTATCACAACCAAAGATCTCAGAATCTCAGTAACTTAAAGAAAACTGAGGATGGAGAATCAATAGCTACATGACTTTGTCACTTTTCCTAGAATTTACAACATGATTGTTCATTGCTCTCACAAAAACCACTTCTGGTTCCTAACATTGTTAGGGTATTCTTCTCAGAACCAATCAGTGCTTAATCAATGACAAGTCAAGACAGACCACAACAGGGATAACTAGGATCTGGCAGGGAATTAAATTGTCCCACAATCATCAGACTGGTGGTTGGGGCATCAAGCAATGACAGAATGTCCAGATAAGTCATCAGTACCAAGGGAGACCACCAGGGACAAAAGCTAAATATCCTGGCAGGTGGGTGAGGGATAGAGGCAGGGGAATCAAGCACTAGACAACAGTTGTTAGCCCAGGCAGGATTATATGTTGCTCTCTGACAGGTCTTTCAGGTTAATTCAATTCAACAAATATTTAAGTGCTTACTGTGTTCAAGGCACTATGTTCAGCACTAGAGATACAAAAGTAAAAGATGATAAAAAACACTTGCCTCAGGGAGCTTGTCCTACCTTGATATGAAACTTCATGGACACAGAAAAGTTCTCTATATAAAACATTCCTTCTCTGGCTTCCGTAACTTACACAGACTATCCTCTACGTATGGAATGCTCTCCCTCTTTATCTGTTTCTGCCTCTTGAAATCTTTAACTCCCTCCTAAACTCAAATGAAGTGTTATTTCCACCTTCTCCACCTTCTCCTTTATGGAGGTGTAGGGGAAGGGGAACAGAATGGGGAAAGTGATCTTAGCTTTGGATACTGAAAGGATATAGAGTCATGGATATGTTGGTTAGTACAGAGAGTAAGTGACAGTGTAACACTCTAAAAATCCATCATTAAAAACTCTCCCTGTACTATATATTTGACCTGTGGGTCAAATCTTGTCCTCCATTTTCTAAATATTCATGTCAATTGATTTTCTCTCACTACAGAATGGAAAGTTTATAACAGAGGTGTTGTCCATCTCTACTAATAGCAGCATTGTAAGGAAAGTCTACTGTGTTGTCTTTAAGTTACAAACAATATCTCATATTTATGCTGCCCTCGTAATGGAGTAAAGAGTGGATGTGCTTGTAAATGTTTAACAACTGACTCGATGAAAAGGCAAGACAAATCTTTAAGTTTGATCTATGTTGTTAACATTTTCTCCATCACTTTCTTAAGTCTGAACAATCAACAAAATATTAAATCAATTCCTGACTTGTAACATTTGCCAATTTCCTCTGAGGTATAAATGCTTACCCTGAAATTTTAATAATGAGAAGCCGGTGCAAACTACAAGCTGACTCCAAAATGCTCCCTTGTTATGAAGTACTTTCATATGGATTATCTCATTCCCTAGACCCAACAGATCCCTCATCAGAGGGACCCTAGTGATTATCTCATCTATGATCCTCATGAAAGTAGAGTAGATACCAATTAACCTATTTCACAAGTGAGGTAATAAAGGGACAGAGTAATTTAATAACTTCCTTAAAGCCATTATAGCATTGTAGGGCTGGGACTAGAACCCACATTGGTTGAAAATTCTTTTTACTGGACCACAGTCCCTCTTGTCTGCTCTCTGATAGTATATGGGTCCATTTTAAAGGTATTGGCTAAGAGTATTCATAGCAACTAAGCCAAAAGACTGGTGATCAGCTTTCTGCCACTATTGTGATACAGTGGATATAGGGCTGGTCTCAGAGCCAGGAAGACCTGGGTCCTTACTCTGACATATACTAACCATGTGACCATGGGAAATTCACTTTTAATCCTTCCATACTCCAGGCAATAAATATCAAGCTTAGACTCAGTCCTCTAAGATTGTAAGGTACAAAGAAGGTGCTGATCTACATTGGCAGAGGGAGTTTACTTATTCTGGCATCCTCTGTGTCAATAAAATCATAGATCCAATTCATTCTTTCAACCCCTATGTTAATAGTATATGTTGTCACATAATCTGTGACATGTGACATTCTTACCTATCATAATGTGAAGATTTCTTACCTGTTATGAGGCTCAAATGAGATATTTAAATCACTTTGCTACATAATGTGAACTTTTAACCATTTTCTATTGACAGCCAAAGACCCATCTTTTTAATGCCAGTATCCTTCTGATTATGCTCAATGGTTTTAAGTCATTGAATATCAATCTCTAAAGCTGTGAAGTTGAAGATCAACAAAGCAAAGTGGAAAGGCATATGATGAGTGTGAGCAGGCACATCACATATGAGTAATTACAAGGGAGATGTGTTATAAAGGGCAGCATCAGAGAAATGTATGAACTTAAAGAAAAAAAGATAGACTAAGCATACAGCAAGAGTGAGGGACCACTGATGGACATGTGCTCTATTGGTATTCATGCAATGCCGAGAGAATGAGACGAACCTTCTAGGATGGATTTATCAAAGGACGTATACAGGAGTTTCACAAGGTGGGCAGACATGAATGGGTCGTGATCTGCATTATTGGAGAGAACACCCATGTGGAAGAGACTTCAGATCCATTCGAGCAGTGGTGTAAAACTCATGTAGAAATGGAGCACTAAACCATATGTAGAAAACCATACATTAACATTGTCTTTGTTCTATAGTATTTTTATTTATTTTATTAAATATTTCCCAATTACACTTTAATGTCATTCAGGCCACACTCAAGAGTGTTGCTGCCAATGTTTGATAACCTCTACATGAAAACACTGGAGATTTAGAGACAAATGACACTGGTTGTAATAAACAAGCATACATGAGATAATTTCCAAAATTCTGTCTCACTTTCTGTTTTATAAAAACTAGTCAATTTTTTTCCATCTGGTTCCAGGGTAAAAACCTGAAGAGCACAAACAACAGGGCATGCTATGTTTATAGATAGATTATCTCTTAATTATATGATGTTAATTTGTTGAGGCAAATGCTGTAATTCTTAATAATCATTTCCAGGTGCCAATTATGTTATTGGATGTTGGGAAGGGTGGGACCAGGGCATGTCACCCCCAAATGCTGCTTCTAGCATGAATAAGAGAATTCTCCTTTTTGCTCTGGTCAATAGAAGAGGCTCTTGCTGTTAAATGAGTCACAGAAATTCACTTGGCACAGTAGTAGGATGAAAAGCATGATGCTTACTGCAATCATTCACCCAAATCCTTGGTTGCTCCCTGCAGAGAAAGGAAGAAGTCAATTGTCTACTCAACTTAGGTTTTCTTAATCATTAAATCCATGGTAACAGTCAAAATAAAGATGAGTGCAAATATATTCATTTCTATGCTAAAAATTTACGTTTTTCTATTCAGGGCCTTTCAAATCTAGTCACTATGAATTTCATGAATTGCTTCTGAACACCCAGACAGCTCTGACCTTTCCCCCTTCCCAAGCCCAACATGGTTCCTGGGATTTCCTTTATCTTCATTTCTGAACAAAAGAGTAGCCTTCAAATCCAGGTTATTTGTTATCATCTTCATTTAACACAAGTTTTCTCCTTCCTTTCTTCCCTCCCTCCTCCTCTACTTGCTGCCATTTACTATAACTGCCCCCTCGTCTTTCCCAATGCCAATATTATTCTTAGATTAATCTCAAGTCACTGAATGATGAAATGCAAATTCCAACTCCCCTCACTTAATAGATGAGGATATTGAGGCTTAGAAAGAGGAAGCAATTTGTCCAAGGTCATACAGCTAGTAAGTGGCAGCACCAGAATTTCTAGTTCTTCTGATTCCAAGTACAGTACCCTTTCCACTGTGACATGACCTTTAACACACATACAAACACACACACACACACACACACACACACACACACACACATACTACACACTACACACACCTTAATTCCATTCTGGTTGATCCTTTAAGGCCAAGATTAAATGCTGTCCCTTCAATGAAGCTTTCTCTGACTCCATAGTATAAAGTGATTTCTCCCTCATCTGACCTAATAGGAAACAACTAGATGGTGCAAAATTCTGGACCTGAAGTTAGGACAATCTGAGTTCAAGTGTGAATTCAGACAGACTAGCTGGGTAATTCTGGGCAAGTCACTTAACCTCTGTCTACCTCAGTTTTTCTATCTGTAAAATGGAGATGATAGTAGCACACCTACCTCCCCAGATTTTTGTGAGAACAAATGAAATAGTATTTGTAAAGCACTTTTCAAACCTCAAAGTTTTTAAATATTACTTATATTATTATTATAGGACTTTATGTTTTATATGTCATGTATTTTACTTAGTTTTAAATTTATTTTTGCATATTTTTTTCTTTCCTCACTAAACTGTTAGTGCAGGGATCATGTCTTACATCTGCTCCAAGAGTCTAACTCACTATATTGTATGCAATGTGGGCTGAAAAAATATTTGTGAAATGAAATTCTTCTAATTGATAATCAAGGCAATTCTTTTTAGGTGAATAGCTATAGATCGTCATGGTATGAAACTCAGACTATAAATAATATCAGTCATACCATAAGACACAATATCTACATAAGCTCCAAAGCAAAAATTCATTGAGAAGTAGGATATCATAATGGACAGAGCACTAATCTCTGATCCAAGAAGAGCTAGGTTTAAAATCTCCTCTATGTCCAAAAAATGACTAAATTGTTTTTCACTAAATGATACTACTCTTGGGCTTAGATGCCAAAAGATTCAAAGAAAGATCAAAAGGACTCATATATGTTAAAAAAAAAAACACTAGTAGTAGTTCCTTTTGTGATAACTAAAGAATTGGAAAATAAAGAGATATCAATCAATTGATGAATATCTGAAAAAAATTGTTATATATGAATATGATGCCATGCTATAATGCTGTAAGAAATGAAGGGGACAGTTTTGGGGGCAGTGGATAGCTGGCACAGTGGATAGAGCACCAGCCCTGAAGTCAGGAAGACCTGAGTTCAAATCCAGCCTCAGACCAAACACTTGACACTTACTAGCTGTGTGACCCTGGGCAAGTAACTTAACTCCAATTGCCTAAAAAAAAAAAAAAAGAAAGAAAGAAATGAAGAGGACAGTTTCAGAGAAACCTGGGAAGACTTGAATGAACTGATGCAGAGTGAAGTAAGCAGAACCAGGAAAAAAATTATACAACAATATTATTAAAATGTTTAACTTTGAAAGACTTAAGAAGTCTGTTCAATGTAATGATCAGCTATAGTTATAGAGAACCAATGTTGATACAAGGAGCCCACCTCCTGACAGGGAGGTGATGGAACCATATATTTTTGGATGTGGACAATTAGGGATTTTGTTTTTCTTGACTATGCATAATTTTTACAAGGTTTCTTTTTCTTTTTTCTTTCTCAATGGAGGAAACAAATAAAAAAATAAATGTTTATGGATTAAAAAAATATTTTAAGAAAAATAGTCCTGTTCTTGATACATATCATCTATGCAACCTTGTGCAAGTCACTTGTTTACAATCCCCCCTGTTTACAAAATGGATATAGCAATATGACTTCTTGTCCTTCTGGCTCTGTTTCTGACTCTATGGACTTTGTTAGTGTAGTTCAAGAACTATATTCTCACCCTAGAAGTTCCTTCTAAATGTGGTGCCTCCCTACCCTGGAAGATATACTTGTTCCAGTGGTCATCTCACCCAGAAGTATCCATCCACCATGCTTGTCCCCTTCTCCTATTGGTGAGTTCCTCCTGGGGCCTCCATTTTATGGAGGGGCCCAGTTACACAAACCTTAAATTTCTTCCTGTCTCTGCTTCTGACTGTCTGGACTTCAACATCATACCCCTGAATGGGAATTCCCTCCCACTCACCCCAGCTTTTCTGTTGTTTCCTTTTGCATGTTGTCTTTCCCCATTAGAATATAAGTTCCTTTAGGGAAGGTACTGTCTTTTTTTCTTCCTTGTATTATCCCTAGCATTTAGTACATAGCCTGGAACACAGTAAGCACTTAATAAATGTTTCTTGCCTTGCCTATGAATATTAAAAAGCAGCATGGTGTAGTCAGTTAGTAGAAGTGCCTGCCTTGAAACCAGAATAACCAGATTCAAGTCCTGCCTTTAACATATATCAGCTATATGGGCAAGTGGGGCAAATCTGGTTCCAATTAACTAAAACAGAGAGTTCCTGATCTGCATCAACATGGATATGACTACACAAACTAAAATCATGCCCCTTCTGCCCTCTTAAAAAAAAGTGCTTATCTCACAGAGTTGATTTTTCAGGCTCAAGTTTAATTATGCATGTAAAACTTTGCAAATTTTAAAGGACTTTATAAATGTCACAATCTTGAAACAACAAAAAAAAAAAAAAGGAAAGAAGGAAGGAACCCACCCAGAAAAATAAAAGTGCTTTTAGCAAATGATGTCAGCCCTTTCTTTGAAAAGCTCTGTACCCTGTGATTCGACCTTAAATCTGGGTACTCCAAGCTACAGCACCCAAAAACATTTGGTCTTCTGAGCACAGCAGCTCAAACTGGAGCATTCTGCCTCTCTGCGAGTGTGTTTTGAAAAACAGTTTCATTGAATTTTCATATCAAATTCCATGCTCAGAGCCACTATTGGATTCAGCAGGAGGGAAGGTAGAGATGTCAAAGAAGCAGATGTTGCCCTTTGTAAAAGCAGGTGCTCCATGCTTAATTTTACATGTCAAAAAAAATCTATTATTAAAAGCTAGCATCTGTCTTTTTAGGGGGGATTTCTTTTCTCAACCAGGTTGATTAAGTATACCATAATTCTCTTTATTCAGAGTTTAACATGCATAAATACCAAGCCAGGAAGGTAGATGGAAAATCTAACTGAGGTTAAGTAGCCTCTTCAAAGATAGAACAAATTAACATTGTTTATCTTTTGAGAGAATTTGAAATCAGAAATATCTTATTGCCGAGCCCTGATGTCTCCCTGACTACTTGCCTAGCAGTGACAGGGATCCCTCTGAGGCTGTCCATTAAAGAAAGACATGAAATTCAGAAGCCAGCCTAGAGTGTGACTGCACATGACTTTGATCACCAAGAAAAGAAGAACCATCTAAGCCTGATTGTTGAAATGCCTCATTCTCTCTCCATAAGGTCAAACATGTACTCCTTGCTGCCCCAGGAACCTAATTAAAGCCTAGCCTTTTTGAGATAAATTAAGCATTCACAGGCAGGCAGGCAGGCACCCACAGCTGTCAGGGAACCATCTCCTCAAGGACAGCTGCACCTTGATAGCCCTTCGTTAAAGTGCTTCCTCCTCTTATATGTGAACTCCTGAAAATCAGGCCTTTCATCTCAGATTTGCCAGCTGGTCCTGAAAACCTTAGTGAGTTTGTGCTGCTTTCCCTCCTTAGGGGAGGTGGACAATATCTTCTCATCTACGGCCACTCAAAGGGATTTCAGCAGTGAATCCCATAGATTGTCCTTTCCGTCAGAGGTAGGAAAAACTGATGAAAAAATAAAGGCTACAAACTTTGATCTAAAAAGTAATGAATTTTCCAATTAGGCTTTTGGCATTTGGGCGGCCAAGTCTTCATTTGCCTTTAAAGGCAGAAAATATGAGGCTTCCTTACACTATTAGAAATCCAAGCTAAATATCTTCAGTGACACAGCAACACCTTCCACATGGCAGGCCCGCAATAAATATTGACCGCTTGGATTTGAGACCAGCTAGGGAACTGAAAGAGGTAAAATCTGTAGGTGGTACTGCTCAAAACTCACTAAACGTGAGGACCTACTGAGTTCAAGTACGTGTGGTCTAGAAGATTTTAGGATTATAAATCTAGAGTGGGAAAAGGCCTCAGAGGTGATTAAGTCCACCTCTTCACTTCACATGTAAGGAAACAGAAACCCAGAGAGTTTGGGAGACTTGCCCAAGGTCACACAGGCTGTTAAGTATCCAAGCAGAGTTTGAAACAAAGGCCTCAGATATCAACATCAGTATCCTTGACATTGTATCAAGCTACATCCACTATTATAGTATGTAGGAGTTATTACATGATGGATAGGACTATAACATATCAAGGGAGAAGGTATACAAGCAATCTCTGATTTTTCAACAGATTGTGTTGCAAAGATTTATTTTAAGTCAGTTGCATTTGCCCACAGAGACTATACGGTTCATGCGCCAGCCTACAAAATCCTACTTAACTCATCCTGTCCCTGGAGTATAATAATAAGCTAATGGTAAATGGAGTGAACTGTGTACATAAGGACAATAGGCCAATATGCCTAGAAT